GGAAATTAATTCCATGAAAATTTTAGAAATACAAAATTTGCGAAAAAATTTTACCGCGAAAATAAACCGGTATATGGTACATTTGTGCATGTATAATAAACTACATGTATAATTATTTTAATTTTTTCTTCCTTCTCTTCCTCCCTCCTCTCCAGAGCCAATGATAAGGATTGGTGTATTACATGTAGGTACAGTAATGAACCTCATTGAGAGGAACTCTCAGTTCAGGGATGCTCCTAATATAGAGACTACATTCTCACAAGAGAACGAGGACAGGATCTACGAGATACCTGTAAAAATGTTAAACAATTTTAATCAACAGGTATGGATTTACTGAGATATACTGGGTTATACTGAGTATTACTGAGTTTTACTGTGTTTATAGGTGAGGCGTATAAGCCACAATACGATTGTGATGCTATTAGAAGATCCAAAGAGTTCAATCAGTGAGTCTCAGTAATCTCTTGTGTATACTCCAGGATATTATTAGTAAATGAAGTAGGGTGTATATTTATGGAGCAGCCTTAGTAATGTTGTACATGTACATTATAGTTCAGCTTTGCTTTGCGCATTGGCAATTTAACTTTGACACTTTGTACTAAACATTATTAAAAATAATGTCACAAAGAAGTATCTACACACCCAGTCACCCACACTCACTTTACTAGAATAGACAATAAGTTATTACATGTACTGTATAAGCAAATGTTAGCAACAGAAATAGACAATCAAGGCAAAAATGACCACTCCAACAATTCCTCCGCCTACAACTCCAATAGTTGCTCCTCCAACGATTGCCATTGCTCCTCCAATAGCTTTTGCTCCAATAACTCCTCCTGCAATTCCTCCGGCAATTCCTCCTAAAATTCCTCCTGTAATTCCCCCTGCAGTAGTTGCATCTTTAACTTTACATTCTTTAGTAGCCCCTCCACTTCCTGTTCCAACTCCCCCTCGTACTATATCTTTCTTCTGTTTAACTCGTTTAATAGCTCCTCCACTTCCTGTTCCAATTCCTGCTCCTGCAACGGTAGCCCCTCCAGCTGTATCTTTCTTCTGAAGTGACTTGTCATTTCCACTTTGCAGTTGCTGCCTCTTTTGAGAGAATGAACCGTCAGTATTTTGATTGGGCTCAGTGCAAATTTCTACTTGATCATTATCTGAAGATTTGAGTGAACCACTGGCATGGAAATTTGCTATTGTTGTCCCAAGCAATATTGCATAATTTGTTGCAGCTCCTATATTATCCTCAAACCGCAATGTATCCTTTAATCTACGTATTAGGGGGATGGCCCAAGTAACACAACCTGGATCAACTGGATTTTTTTCCTTCCTTGGATAGAAAATGATATTATCTGTAATCTTCTCAATTTCTGAGCCTTCTACATTCATTGACTCCAACTTTTCTTTGATACATTGCTTCCATTCACATTCCATTGCC